TAAGGTGTGTGGGGGGGGGGGGTTACCTTGGTTGGTTATTGGCTAATGGTTACACAACCCAAAAAAACGTTATGACATCATAAAGTGGCCAACATCTGATCAAATCATTTTCAGACAGGTTTTTATACGAACGGATCAGGAGAAAGAGAGCAAATCTTTTTTTCCTGAAACTTTCAGAATCTCTTTACACAGAGGGGACACATATTTCTGTATCAAAGACATGAAAAAGTGGATTTTGCATAATAGGGGACCTTTAAGGATCAGGCATACTTGTGTCCACAGCTCCTGACAAAGAGCACGCATATTCTTGAATGTGTCAGGTGAATGGGTGAAAGAGAGGGGGAGCAGGTGCCTGACTGAGCCAAAACTCAAAAGGAAGCAACGACATAATTGAACTCACCCCTGCAGGAGCTTATCTCCTTGTCTTTCACAGAACTCCTGGAAGCCCGGGAAGCTCCGATAGAAATCATATTCATCTCCAGTCTGAGGCAAACTGGCGGATGCCTTGGTGGCAGATAACACCGCACCCAATCCATACTGCAGAGAGAGAGGATCAGCTGTTAGTCCATACCAAAACATAGTATGATCAAAAACATAGGGAAAGGAAACAATGAAATGAACAATGTGTATGATCTTTTAATGCAAGATTAGGGTTTTCACAACAAGGTTATTTCTAAACAGTGAAACTTGGCATATTTGAACTTACATACATGCAGAGTTTAAACGGTAATTTTTTATTAAACTAGTGGAATGACTGAAAATATAGCAAAAACGTTATTCATAATGTAATGTGTTAGCTATCTACAACTATGCATGGTGACAGCTTTTCTAAATGTGGATATGTATTACCTTTTCCCAATTAAAGAGCTATCTTTAGTTAGCTAAGTTAAATCGCCCATAGCTCAAATTGGTCCCAAAATGAGCAATTAGCGAAACTATTTATCGACAGTTCCTTAAATAAATGAATATTAACATGAACACATTTGCCTAAAGAGGCATATTTTTTTTTGCTAACTATTGCAACTTCGACCATTACCTCACCAGTTAATTATAATATTAAAAGCTTGTGTCAACAGATACCTGTGCATCTTTTCTCACCAAGCCTAACTAATTTGACTACAGCTCGTAGGCACTAAAGCAGACCCACGTTGCCCACCTGACTGCTAGCCTGGACTCACAAACTGCGCGTGCAGCGTGCTTAGTTCACTCACTTTAACAAAAGCATCCGCGTCTTTAAAACCGGGACACAGGTCTTCCTTTTCCTCGTCGTTGTTTTCGGAATTTGGGTCTGCAAAGACACTGTTAGTGGAGTCTTTTCTCTTAGAAGAATCCATATTCCAGTTTCAGTGCTGTGTACATGTGTGCCGCAGGAAGCAGTCTCCTTCTCCACAATATGTTTTCTTCATAGCTGACACAAGGCAGGGCAGGGAGTCACAGCGCCACCTGTCGGAGTGGAGTAAACGTTCCGCGAGACGACGGACTATATTTTCAACAATTTGTTTGAGAATAAGAGAAATATTGCTGCTTGAACAAATGTGAAATGTTTGGATTCACTGAACCCATTGCTATTAATTGTTGTTGATATTTCAGCATTCTGCCACATTTTATGTTTTTCTATATTCTACGTTGTGTGGATTCTCTTCGGTTGTGATCCAAATCAGGATTGGTCATGAATCATTATTCCACTGCATTGCCATGCTCTGGTACATTGCTCTGTACCCGTGCAATGCAGTGACACTGCAGACACAGCATACCTCACCCATCCAACCTTTTTACCCCAGTGTTGCACCAGACTGCTGGTACCATGAGGGGGCAGTATTGATATATGCAATATGCAGCAACTAAACTACATATGCACTGTGTTGGTGGGCTATAGGAAGAAGTCATACACACCAATCATGTCTCAGCCAATATCTCTGTAAGAGCTATCTTAACCATATCCGAATATCTGCATTTTGCAGTTTGCAGTTTTCAGCAATAGAGGTGATGTTGTGGGTATACCGGGGGATATTAATCATACATTAATACCCTCCCTTAAGTGTCTGGTGTAAAAATAAGTTACAGTAGCCCAGTGTTGTGATTCAGCGGTCAATATCATGTCAAGAGCCATTGCCGAAGTATTGACACACCAGCTCATTATGGATGATCTGTGGTGCGTAGGGAGAAACCTCGCTTTTCTTCACTTCCCCTCCCTATTGATCTCTTCACAGGGTCCTCTCCCTCTTATTATCTTAAAAGCATCTCTGCAACACTGGCTCAATCAATATTTCACAGTAGCTCTCCATGTCATTCCCTTTTTTAGTGAAAGGCATCCGAAGTTCAGAAGATATATGCTTGAATAACACAGATAAATTATTCAATATATTCTTTGCAAAACCTACTGCACAAAGCCAACTACTTGAAATATCGTTTTAGATTATGTATTATTTTAGATAGATGTATGACTTTGGAATGTGTGTGATGATAATCCTTATTATTTGATAAAGCAATTAGTTTATTCACCAAAGTCTTTGCAAAGGTGTTCTGTGTCCACCGAATAGGACATTACTGCTGCCATTTACCCTCATTTAAATGCTTTTTCATAATATTATGCATTTTATAGCTTTGATGGTGCCTCAAGGTAGCACTCAAATTCTTCCTGCAGTAAAAGACGCTAAAACTGCTGATGCTGAAAATGACACTGTGCCACCCATAATTCAAAGAAATCCGAGAGAATCCTCAGTGAATTGTTTTTATTAACTCCCTCATTTAGAAAACACAAATGCACCAAACAATAATCATACATGCACAGCTTCAGCATATCAAGATCAGCTGATGACTTTTCAATGTGAAAATGTTACTGCCACGATCTCACGGAGATCACCTGGACATCAAAATACTGAGGAGTCACAACAGAAAGGCCAAGCGTTGTCACCCAGAGCTCTAATTGTATTTCTCCAACACTCTTTATCAAATTACAAATGTTTGGCTAACTCATTTATTTTCAATGAATTCAGCCTTTTCTGATCTTGATAGTAGCAAGAAAATTGTAAAGTTGTAATATTATAAAAATAAGTACAAGTAGATAACACTACTTGTATTATCTACTGTGCACTGGTTGACTACCTTGTAACAGGTAGTGTTTGTGTCATTGCACCAAAAGGCTGTGTGTGATAGCAGCTGCTTAGAAATGTCTCTCTCTCTGCTCATGTATATTTCAGATTGTGGGTTGGAAAGAAAATTACAATTAGAAGTAGGACACCACTGTTTGGTCTCGCAGTTGGGGGCGTTGCTTCAAATCACAACAAAATACATACAGTATGTACTGTTTACTGTATGAAGGCAAAACAGATCTCATCGCACCGGCTCTTAATTGTTATTCTAAAGCAACACTTGACCTTTGTGCAGAATCTTTGGAAGAAACAAAATAAAAGAAACAATTAGGAACAATATCAAACATTAAAAAAAAGAAAAAATCAAACCCCAAATCAAAACATCTCCACAGTACTGATACGTTACAAAAACAAAGAGGTTGGCAATGCTTCTATGTACCCAAGACACAAGTTCATACAATGCGTAAGGTTGTCTTTTTCAGTTCATATAATCAATAAATCAGCCAAAAATATGCATTTCCTGTGTAAACATTTGTTAGCCTAACAATGACATTCTGTAATGAAAGAATGTGTACAGATTAACCACACGTAAAGCCACAAAAACAGCATAACAGGATTCAAAGACCGCTTTCAGAAAGTCTTCAACACTCATCGTGGGGAGAAAGCATTTTGTCTACACATTGAAAACAGACTTGTACCTGACATGGCCTTCTGGATTATGAAGCTCGGTTCCATTTGTTCCTTTGCACTGGCTTTCATTGTAATTTGATTTTAATTACAATATATCATATTGCCCGTACTGACCTTGAATTACTCTATTTGAATGTCCACATGCTTCAGGTGCCCAAAGCGCTGAACCAGGGTTAAGTACAAGAAATTAGTTTAAATTATATTCCCCCAGCAGAGATTTCTTGCAAACACACCGTAGTGTAGGCTAATAACCACACACACACACACCCTTGAATCTTCCTGGTGTCATCTTGATGGGATTGTCCTGATTTAGTCCTCCCTAAATCCTGATACATTTGTCTTGTGTGGGTGTCATTAGTACCATTACTCCTATGCCCTTTCCCACAGGAGCCCCTCAGGCGTGCTCTAATTCATTAAGATGTTTTAATGTCTGCTAAATCATGGCGCATATCAGGCTTTCCATTCGTCAAGTCAGTCTGTTAAATGGACCCTTGTGTTGTGTGCTGACAGGTAACTGATATATCTGTTCCTGCCACTTTAGGGCTATTGAAATGTACTGTAGGGGTAAGCAGGTCTGAATACCTGAGCAGTGGGGGTTTTGCTGAAATACATAAAGGAAACAATGACAACACATACCACATAAAAAAAGCCAATACAACTGACAAGAAAGGACAGATTCACAAAGTATTAAAACACAGCTGACCATACATTTTGCCAAATAATGTCTAAGCTGGTGGCTAGATTTCAATTATCAGACTGGCACAATTGGCAGCACTTTAAATCCCTCCTCATCTTGACTGCGATGGCTGATTATGCACAATGACTGGCACGACTACTGTGTGTCGCCCAGATGGATGTAAACTAGGGCTCCAATTAATGATTATTTATTAATCGATTTTTCTATAAAATGTCAAAAAAATTAAGAAAAGTGAGCATCACAATTTCCCAGAACCCAAGGAGATGTTTTCAAATACAGGTCTTCTTTTGTCTGACCAACAGTCCAAAACCCAAATATGTTATCACATGCATACCATGGCCACGGATAATTCTGGATCCTGATTGGCGAAAGGTCTAGTAACGGGGGCATCACAAACAAAACAGAGGGGTTTGTTTGCCATGATAAACAAATGCAACAGTACTAAAGTCTTTTGAAAAGCTAATCCTACAGTAACTCAAGGTAAATGTAACACCTTAAGAATCTTTTAACCACATCACGGTTTTCAAAATAAATTGAAGTTTACCTCAGTTGAGTTTGTTCAGTTGACACAACCAAAGGTGTCGGATTGCAGTTAAAGAACATAAATTATGATAATCCAAACTGTTTGCTGAAATATTTGAGGTTGAAAGCCAATAGGTACATCTTGGAACATTTGATTTTTGTGTGAAACTTTCGTTAAAGTAATTAGGAATAGCTATTCACCTCTCAAAAAGTATTTAACTGCTGTTTTGAATTCTTAAGAATTGACCGTGTTGCTTTGCAATTTGAGTGCAATCAGTGAAAATATTCTTGGAATGGGAAATATGCTTGTGTCGTAAAGCGGATTGTATATATTTATTATATTATGATTGTTTGAATATTCTGATTTTAATAGTTGTTATCAGGTGATATCAGGAACTGAATGACTACATAATATCTTTATTTTGTAGACCTATAGCAGTTGTTTGGCATGTGGCCATGGTATAAAGTGGAATAATACCCTCCGAGTTGGATTTCGTGGCGTCAAATGGATTGAACTCATACTCACACCTTGTTGGGTATGGTGTGCATTTTTCCTTGATAAATGACTCCAATGACTTGTTGTTGATTATTTCCTGGTGATTGTTTCAGCATTAGCGTTAACGGAAATACACTGGCAGTCATATACCTCTCCTACTACTGCTGTATACAGGCAGATGTAATCTTCGTGAGTGCAGAGTAAAGTCCAATCCATCAATCAGCGGGCCATCAAAATAACTGGTCTGAGGCATTAAAACCTGTACGAGCCCTCACGGTACACATTCAGCTCTGCACAATCAAATGATAAAAGGTAAATGGCTTACACCGGCACTCTGAGCTGTTTTACGAGTTTCATCTGGGACAACTTTTAATGGAGCGCATAAGATGAAGGCGGCTGCAGTATGTTCTGAAACACTGAGCATCACTGACTATTGTCTATAAGTGAGGCCGTTACAAGAATCTCCAAAGGCACGGGCACGGGTGAATGGACATGTTCCTAGTCGCCAATTCATATGTGGAGAGGTAAACTGAAAATATTCAAAAATACAACTTCTCATCATGGCCTTCCGCAAGGTACACTAAGACCTTCAACAATAAGAATCTGTGAGGGATAAAATGTTGAGGAAAGCATGTAGCTATCTTAGCAACAACAAGAAGGCTGAAACTACTTTGGCACATGGTAAGGCATCTGTATCACTCTAGAGTCGAGAAAAAAAAAAGTGTTGAAATGGAGCCTTGTTTTAAAAAAAAGCGAATTTACTGTTAATAAGTGCCTGACAGCATGCTCCACTCTTGTGCTGCCTCATACCCGCAATCTAACACTGCAAAATAGTATGTGGTCACCTCCAAAAATAAGAGAGAAAAAAAACCTCAGCAAATTTCACAAATTCAAGAAAAATAAAACCATTAAGAAGGTTGAAAAAACAAAGCGGACTTTGTCATTGTGTCACGACGTTGACCTGAATGTTGATATTGCAATGGCCAGAAGCAGGGAGAGGGGGGAGGTGTCCGCACTCCAGGCTCTCGAGCCGCGGGCACTCATACCTGCAACACACACAAAAAAAGTCAAACCTGCTGGAGGAAGTGGATGTTTGGCGGCAGCACCAACAGTTCTGGACATCCATTTAATTCCTTATCTTACACACTCTCTGCTATCTTACCTGTAGACACATCTGAAAACAGATTTGCAAAAACATTCTAAAAGAAAATTAGATACTTACATTTCCAAATCATGAAACACACATATGGATGTTTCACAGGGATACTTATAATGTGGTGAAATTGTATTTATGTCCTGTTTTTATTACTGCGTTTGTTAGTAAAAATGTAAATGTATTATGGGACTATAAAGGGACCAGGGGCCTGATGCAGATTTCTCTCATCACTAATTTGTTATGTATGATTTAAGCGACTCAATTAGTTCTTATGGATCACTGACTATTTTCCTGTAATGACATCCATATAAACTCTTTCCTGGAAAAAGTATATATTATTTATGCAAAAGAAATCTCCTGAACCACACAGCTTCCCTTTCTATCAACACAGCAACACAGCACTCTGTTTTGCCTGCTAATGTGTTTTGCAAACATCTTTTTCTTTGCAGTATCCAAAGAATCTCTGGGAAAAAAGTAGCATACAGAAAAGCCAGCGTGGAATTCTCTGTTTCAACTGCTGTTTTCAGGGATTCAACACAGAATATCAACAATGCAAATTAGCATTTAGAGCAGCAGAGGACCCCCCCTGGTGTCCCTCAGGACAGTTATAGCATCTAGTAAAAGAGGAAGTCAACCTCTGCAACAGAGATATATTTCGCTGCATATTTCTACAAAACATAAGCAGGGATGAGCCCAAACAAGGGTGGATGGGGGCGCGGGTAATGGCAAGTCAACGGAGGACAAAATGTCCCTGCAAGGTTTAAAAAGTGCCAAGGGCATTCATTTACAAGAGTGGGTAAATAGTAAAAAACAGCTCTGAGGGATCGAGGTGCCCGTGTCAAATCTTGCTACTCTGTCGTGTTACTTTCAAACATGTAAGCTTTAGCATATTTCAGTGTGAAGGCTTAACACAAAAATATAGCAGTTTTTCAATCTGAGAAGCTATTCCTTGAACTTCGAACCACGTTAGCGATACAACCATTAACAACAAACTCACTTAGTTGGTGGATTCGTATTGGGTCAGAGGCCGGGCCCAGCCCTCCTTCACTCAGCGTCTGAATGTGGATGATGTAGTCGTCATCTTCCTCGGGGAGGGTCAGCTCTGCTGTTGAATTGGCTGTAGTGAGGGTGTATACCTCTTTGAGCCTCTGCCTCCTGTATGACAGCTGGATGGGGAGCAAAGTGGGTGACACATTGTAAACATGTCATCTTACAGCCTGGCAGCTTAGTGTGAGCCACCATAGGTACATTTCCCTCAGATGTTTAATAGGAACATGGTAATGTGGAGCATATTAAAAAAGTCTAACTCACTTGGTAGCCTGTAACTTCTGACTCTGACTCCATTGCCACCACAGGTTCCCAGTAAAGAGACAGCTGAGAGCCGATTAGAGTCCATTCCACATTCAGCGGTGGTAGGGCGGGTGCTGCATGATATCAAAACAAATCATTTACACATCAGCACAGAAACACATTACTGCCACATCAATCTACAATAATTATTCTCTATTACGGGATGATACTACTTCAAAGGATGACTTTAGAACAGGGGTGTCCAAACTACAGCCCGGGGGCCAAATGCAGCCCTCGGACCATTTGGAATCAGCCCTCAGCAAATTAAAAAAGTACAATGGAATATGGCCCCCAAATGAAATATAAATGTAAACATATATTACACAGTACTATTCATGTGTAAATAAGACCACTTTTCAAATAAATTCAGTCAATTAAAGTTGGAAACATTTTCTAATATATTTTAGTTGATAAGAAAAAAGCCCAATAACTTATTTACATAACAAGCTTGAAATACACCCTTCCTATTTCTCCTTATTATAATCAATCTGAGGCTCCTGTTTTAAGGGATGATCTGCCAACACTCACAAGCACAATTTACCTACATTTGATTGATTTAGCTAACTTATAACTGAACTTATGAGGCAATATACCTCTAGTGAGTGGCCAGCCCTTCGTATATTTTTCTGTATGTGGCCCTCGGTGAAAATAGTTAGGACACCCCTGCTTTAGAAGCATGTATTTTTATTCTGCCATCTGACATGAATTATAACCTGTTTGGACACAAAATCACCCGAGCAGCAAGGTGTCTTGGGTGCTGCAACTTACGTGGCTTTTTTGTGGTGACATTGATTGCTGGTAGGAAGGGGCTGGTGCCGGCTGTGTTGAAGGCGCTGACTGTGAGGAAATACTGCGTGATTCCTGCCAAGCCGCTCACTGTGACCGAGGTTTGGTTCCAAGGCACCCTGACCTTCCCCATGGTCTCTGGTTTGGTGTCATCTTCCCAGTATGCCACCTGTTTCAGACAGAGAGCGCGGTATCTGGGATTTATTCAACCGTGATATATTGCTTCGGAGTGGAGCAAAATGCCTACATCAGTACTATAAATGTTTTATCACATACAGAACATAAAGTGTTTGTAGTTGTATTTGGTGTCTTGATGAAAATGTGGTGTTAAATAATGATTATTTCCTTAACCTTTCCAGCAGGTTATCTTATCTGAAGTATAAAGCCTTTTTAATTGTACTTTTACAACTACTGTTGTTCACTATGTTCAGATACCACTGAAAGAGTGAAAATAGATGTATTTCTTTTTTTATTCATCAACAGATTTGACAGCTATATAATTATCAAAATTACCAATCCAGATTTCTATGTCCCTCGACTAATGGATTTATTGTGAAATAATTTTAGCCCTACAATACATTAATCTGTGCTTGCGTAATGAATTAAATTAAATTGTTGTACTGATCAAATATAAAGTTAATTTACCAATCATGGCCATGTGTTTTTATGTGATTGTAGTTATTACATGTACAGCACTTTGGCCCGACCAAAAATCGCTTTTAAATGTGCTTTATAAATAAACTTTGATTTGATTTGATTTGATTTGAATCATAAAATAAGCGAGTCATTTTTTTCTAACATCAAACTGATTATATATCTTAAAAAGAAGTTCATCCTCCTACACATCTACCTTTTATGTCTTCATTATTCAATCTGAGCTGAATTGAAATGGCACAGAAGCTCACTTTTGCAGGTGGATATATTAAAACAACTTTCATTTTATTGAGCACAAGAATAACCGCAGCATCTTTTAATAAATCCCTTTGATCAGCCTGATGATTCCGTCAGCACAATCAGGCTGTCCCACTTTTGAAGGTAAGAATAGAAAACAACAGTTTTGGCTTTAATATGTCATAGATTAATATTCCTATTTTATTTAGTGAACAATGAAAGATTTAGGATTAATCCCAAGGTGCTTCTCTGTAAAAACAACAAACAGAGGAGCTTTTCCGGTCTCGTTACACAGTCTTTGGCGTGGTGTGGCATTTCTTAGCATTCTGACACCAGGTCTGGTATTGCAGCACATACTGTACCATCATGAGGTCTGCATCACGATACACCATAACTGACAGCAGCTTGAAAAGGGATGTGGACAGGTAATTTTATTTTTTGTTCTCTTGAAAACACGACCCGTCGTGTTGGTACAAAGAACTGTATAATTTTGTCTCTAACTGTCTCGCAACTGAAAAAGCCATTTCCATGGTGACGCAGAGTTTGGGAGTGATGGCTTTTTGAGGTACAACAGGGGTGATGACAAGCATTTGAATTGTGTTGTGTGTGTGATTTCTATTTCCATTTAAAAGGGTAAAATGTACCTCATAGCCCAGAACCCTTTCAGGGGTGAAGGAGAGAGCTTGCCAATTCACCTCAATCTCAGAGGCGGAGACACTTCTGGCCCAAACTCCTGCTGGCACCCCGCTCGGCTCTGAAAACAGACGACAGGAGACTGAGCAGTGCTGCCTTTTTCCAACAGAGAGACGGAGAAAAGCAGGACAAATCTCTTCGTTTTACACATTTATGACAGTGCTGTGTTCTTGTTGATCTCTACTTGGATGAATCATCACACACAGGTGCCGCTGGTAAATAGAACAACAGTACTCTACACACTGACCTCCTCTCAGCACGTTGAGAGGTAGCATGGATCTAAATGCCAACCGGTTTTCACTTCACAATAGCCATTCAAAAGAGTGGTGATATTTGTAGGCAATCTGCCTGTCCTTACATAAACGTGTTGCACATTTTCTTTTAGCAAATGTTCTACTGTGTAAAAAGATTTCTACATAATAATTCCCCAGCGTTTCTATTTATCTATCAAGCGCTTTCAGCCCAGTGGGTGCAACAAAACCATTTTTCACGGTCTTTGTCCTTTTCAGAAACAGAGAGAGCGTTGCAAAAAACACCACTGGCGTCCATTCCCTTACCTATCTCTGCAGAGTAGATGGTGACCACGGCGCTGAAGGGACCCTGCCCTTTGCTGTTGTATGTGCCAACCTTGACGTGAAATGGAGAGAAGGGCGCGATGCTCTCGTTGCGGTACACGTAGCGCGAGGCACCGGGGGCCGAGGTGGCCACGTGGGTCCAGCTAACTTCTCCAAAGGCACGGAAAGCAATGATGTAACCAAAGCTCTCACCATTCTGTAGTTCTTCGGGGACAGGCTGAGAGTGAAACACAAAACTATAGTGATATTAAAACATATACAAGCCTCTCACATTCATCCCGCCGCTGGGCTGACACAATCTCCACCCACTCTCATTGTGCCAGAAGAAGAGCATGACCCACAAATTGCTTTCGTGACCCACCTGACGAAATGAAACGAGAAGTAAAATGTCATTTAAAAATAAATCTAAGCTCATTACAAAACCTCCGTGCAGCTTTTAAAATGAAAAGTTTGTTGTGCATTTAATGAAAAGAGAAAAGGAATATAATGAGATAGCGTTAGACAACTAATGGCTTCTTCAATATCTACATTATTCTATTATTTGAACTGGTTTACCTTATTGCTAGATTTGAGCATTTGCAGATTTGGCTGAGCAGTAATTTACCTAAAATCCAATCTTCATAAATGACAATAACTGTCAGATTAAGTGTTTTGCTTGTGTATAAGTTGTTGCTGCTTTACATGCAGACTCTTTAAATAAGAAATTACAACGCCAGACTTCAATTGACTCGAAATGTATGACACCCGCAAGCCAAACCGAGCAGAGGCTTTGATTTAGCGAGAAATATTAAGCACCTCACTGAAGGATAAAAAAGATTAACTGAATAACAGACTAGAACATAAGACTGATGACTTACCTCCCATGTGATGACCAGTTCTGATCTGCTCCCACCTCCTCCACCCACGTCACCTGGCGCCGCGTCAGGAACTGCAAACACAGAGCTTCATCACTCACACCTCCGTACGAGAAACACTTCAGGCTTGAGAAAGTTTACAAGAAGAGATGGTAGGATAATACTAAGAAAATGTGTCTTATTGCAAATCATAGTTTCTTCCTGATCAGGACGAATGATTCTAGGGGACAAAAGGGATTATTTTCTGTACCTGTGTCCTCTGCCCTAGTCGTGATGACACAGGGCTGGGATAATAGTGTTTTGGGCGACACTTCAGGAAAAATCATAGTTCTTTGCACTGGTAGATTTTGAGTGTTTGGGCCGTTTTACTTGTCTCCTTTCAGACTTATGAAAAAAATACTTTTATGATATTTATTTATTTTTATATTTTTGTTTCTTTGCGTCTGTATAGTGCCCCTTAATTCACCAAAAGTAAGCAAAGGAAAATGCCTCATTTGAATATCCAAACATAACATTGAAGAAATGTTCCAATACAAAAAATGATAGTCTTAGTTTGATGGTGGATTGCTTAAGATGTCTTTCTTATTTACCTGTAGTGTCTTTCAAAATGTATGGAATTTTATAATACATATCTTTAAAGGCTTATTTTCTTGACATACTCATACAAAAATAAATACTTGGTAGCACGTATATAGAAAATACTATAAAAAACAAAAAGTAACAAAACATCAATCAGTGTATTGCATAGAAATGATGACAATATTTCATTTGACAAAAAAATAACATTAGGTGTTGAGTCTAATATAATTGCTCTTTTTATTTAGCCTCAGAGATAGTCAATGTTTTTCTGCATAATAATGACATACTTTTATGTTTTGTCTTTAATTTTGATAATTTCTTCTCTTCTTTTGTTTTATTATATTCCCTATGTGTTTTTTTATTCATGCTCATATAAGTGGTGTGATTGTTTTCAGTCTAATTTTTAAATTGTATTGAGAAAAAAGAAAAAAAAGAAAAGTCAATTGCTTTGACTGTACCTGCGTCCTCTGTCCTGGTCTTGACCGACACAGGGCTGGGTTCTCCGACCCCAACACTGTTTTTGGCCAAAACACGAAACTCATACTCCACCCAGGCGTTAAGGTCCACTACAGTGGCTGTCAGTGTGCTTCCATCGATCATCTCTGGGACTGAAATAAAACAGAAATAATACAGTGTGCATAAATATATATAAGAATATAAATAATACCAGGATTTATTTTTAAACAAGATAACTAAATCTGTAAAAAATAAAGTATGTCTTTGGGATGAATGGGAGGTCAGCTTCAGTTTTGAGTCTAGAATGTCAAACTTCTGTCACACAGTTAGAAATCTGACCTTTCTTTCCTTATCTTGTGTTGTTCAGCAAAAGCTTAAAAAAACAACCTTAAACTGACATACAAATACACAAGACTGTATGACCTAATTTTATGACGCTGCAATGTGGTGACTCATTGCACCCAATTACTTAGAATCCATGAAAGGCAGAGGTAATAAAGTCAAGTTGGGTACAGTAATGCCAAAAGATTTTCCCAAATTATCGTTGGATAAACTAAATAATGGCCTGAAAGATGCCAAAACAAATCTGTAGAATTGCTAGGTTTTACCTTCTAAGCTACAGGGTTCTTACACCTTTTCCAAAGTCAAATTCAAGCACTTTTCAAGCATTTTCAAGGTGCATTTTCAAGCTTTTCAAGCATCTTACAGCTGTTGTAAATTACATATTTATATACACATACTTATACTCAAATGATTATTTCCCTACCTCACATTAAATCAGATGTTCTTTATGCTATAAACAACCAAATGTGTGTTTCGTAATAGCATTCTACATGAGGATCAAAAATTAAAAATGTTAGAAAAGAAAACTAAGTTTAATATTTCAAAATGAGTGACGTAGACTGGGCATCCCATATAACCTGGCTGAGCCAATATAAAACAATCAGCCAAATAACTTTTCAATACATTATTGATTACTATTTTTGAGGTACTTTTAGGTTGGCAGTAAACATAAGTCAGAGGTAAATGGTGTGCTTTGACTCCACTACATGTGTTTAATACCTTTAGTTACTTTACAGATGTGGATGAATGATGTGAAATATAATCAAGTGTTAAATCAGACTTTAGTTCCACCTGGAGTAAATCCACAAGCTACCCTGCAGTATACAAAGTCATTCAAACTAGCTGCAACTTTACCAGCTTTGATAACACTTTCATGATCAATCATTATAAAACATATCATATACAATTATTAGGGATGCTCCGATCGCCAATTTTGGAGCCGATCGCCGGAATCAGTAACGGCCGATACCGATATCGCTCTCTTTTCCTCTCTCCCCCTCTCTCTCTCTCCTGACAGCCGGTCAGTATCTCCTGCAGCTCACTGATCCAGTAATGAGCGACCCGACAGTGAAGAATAAATATATTTATAACTAGTTTAGCTTGTTCCAGAGGTAGATAAAATAGCTAAGTGTGTTAGGTCTAACTCTTAATGTGTGTTCTGCTCCGCTCACCGGTCCGTCACAGCGGGTGGAGCTGCAGGATTTCTGCTTCACACACGTTGCATACCGCTATTTTATTGTCATTTTCGGACACTTAAAATACTGCCAGACTAGTGAAGCCATTTTGGCGAGCTTGTTTTGCCGCGCACAGAGAAAAGTGTCATGTATTTGACCCTCGTCTTAGCCATGGCTTGTATTTGTCTTCTGCTAGCCAACGCTCGTTGAAACGGCAACCTCCTGGCATACTGTCATCTATCACTCTCATCAGAATGCCCAGGTCACACACGTAACAAAAACACTTGCCGGTCACGCGCATTGCGCGCGAAGGCCGGAGCGGAGCTGTTTTATGTGAAAGCGAAGCAATTAAGCGCGCTCCGACTTCTTTATTTTCTTTTAATCTAAAAAGCGAAGTAAAGCATTTACAATTTCAAGCACTTTATCCCAAATTCAAGCACCATTCCCAAAATTCAAGCACTTTTCAAACCTTGAAAACACCTCGTACAATTTCAAGCATTTTCAAGGATTTCCAGCACCCGTACGCACCCTGAAGCTAACTTTCACTCATTTACAGTTTTCCCTTGTGTAATGAACACTGTCCCAGTGTAATACACTGGTAAAATGAAAGCTTGTGTCTCCAGACTATTCAAATAAATGCTTTCCCCTCTCCATTGGAACAAAAGTCGTATGTCTTCCACAGAGACTTTACTTGAGCAGATGAAAAGGGTTTGGTCAGGTGTAAAGGTCCTTTCAGTGGTTTAAATGAGATCATGTAAAAGCAGCGGCGATGACCTCTAGTTCTCTCGAGTAAGACCCTGAGTCCCTCCCTTCTCCAGAGCCTTCGTTCTGCAGCTGACCCTACGCTTTGACCTCCCAGCTGAAGCCGGAAGAGAAGTCAGAGTATTTCCCTGCGGGGATCTATGAATTATCTGAGTAACATTACATGTGGTATGAGAGGAAATTTCATCTTCAAGTGCCGCCTACCTGTGTTAACCCTTTGCCATCCCACGGTGAAGGGAGTCCTGGTCTGGATGAGGTAATTGGTGATGGGGCTGCCGTTGTCTCTGCCGGGACTCCAGGCCAGCTGGGCTGTACTGTCTGTCACCTCCACCACCGTCACCGAGTCTGGGGGGGTGGGGGAGCCTGGCCCAATCACAGAAAAGACACTGTGAGGTACTCGCACACGCACACCAGATGGCAGAATGTGGACGCTACACCACACATACTGCAAGCAAAACATGAACTGCAATCTCATTTGCATAAGAAACACCTCTATATATAGAGCAACAACTGATTACTATTCATTTGTATCTTAGAATACACATTAGAGAGAGAAAAACATATTTAAAAAGCTTTAAGTTTGAGAACGTATGCCCTTTACAAAGATATGAGAAGCTAAGTCAGGATTTCTTTCCTTTAAGTTTGAGAACGTATGCCCTTTACAAAGATATGAGAAGCTAATTCAGGATTACTTTCCTTTAATATTCAACAAACTTGTAATCCTTCCCTTTCATGGTCTTTCCGGTAATTGATCGATAAAACAGCAGACGCAAGTAGATGCAGGGAGTCAAATTAAAAGGTAAAAGATGAAAAGGGGCCTCATAGCCCTGAAGAACCAGAGTTTTATCATTTATTTTCATTATTCCACCAATTAAGCGGTGTGATGTTTTAGTTTGGCTTCATCTACTGTTTCCTGTTCTAATGAACGTGTCTGCTCATCAGAAATAATGGACCACTAGAGAGCTGTGAGACAGACCGCAGAATAATAACTCGCCCAGCTCTGCTCACACTGCCCCTGTACTAGTTCCTAATGTGAAGCAAAAATATTCTAATTATTAAGGCGTTTAATAATTATTTTAACAAACAATCAATAGTTCATGCAGCAGGGCTGTGATGTACGTAATACATGCATCTATGCAAAACAAGGAACTGCTGAACTACATTTTTAAGTTTACAGAAGCATTGAGCGTGCTGCCCACATACATTTGGCCTTAAAGCCATGGCTTTAGTGATATTGATCTTTGTAAAACTCATTAGCAGCTCCTGATTAAAAAAAAAAACTTTAATACACTGGCTTCAGTAACACATATTAAGGAGCACACAATCAGGGATCAATTCCTTATCCTCTTAATTATATTTCATTGGCTGAGGCAAGAGGGTGCTGTCATTGTCTTTAGGGTGTTCAAATGATCTGTTATTAATATGGACACACTGTCTGAGCTTTTGTCGTGAACTTGGCACGGGGCAAATCATTATCTGGCGGTATTATGAACACTTACAGAAATGATTTTGATCTGATTTAAATATTTCCCAAATTTGTAATATAAAGAGTTGCACATGTCAGAATTGAATATAAATAATCATTTGTTTTATAAATAATTAAATAATAATGATTAATCACATTGTGTTGCACTGACTGTTGTGTATTAGGTGTATATTTCTATGTAATGTCTTCCAGGACGATGATGATAATGCAACTGTCAAACAAGCTCAAGTGCTCACCAAGTGGTTTGAATGCTAATGGCCATGATGTATTCGGTATAACATGACCTTCTCCATAACCACCACCACCCGGTGGAGTGTTTGCCAGGTATCATGGAGAGGGATCTAAAACATTTCCCTCTGTCATTGTGGAAAACAAGAACCCAGATGATCACTCGAGAATCTTTGTGTCGGGAGCGATTATCATTGACCTTCACTGCTGCGAGAGGAGTGAAGCGAGACAGGAGACAGCATTCAAAATCACTGTCACCAGCTAATATTATGTGATTGTAATATATGTTTCCATTGCCAATAACACCAATAATACACATTACTTCAAGTATGATCATTAAAGTGAATAGCTGTTGCTGTGATTCACACAACTACCAGCGCAATGACACTGGCACAATTATGATCACAGTTAAATGAGTGATGCGTTATTCAAAGTGTTGTCTTAACATTAAAATAGCATTTCTTTGAGCACATTCAAATGCAGACACTCTCCTACACTCTCACAGTATATATAGCCAAGTAGACAAGGTTTTATTTGTCAAGCCTTGAGCTATCTATCTCTGTGATGTTTGCTTCCACCCCATAATAAATTAGAGCAGAATTGATTATTTTATGGGTTTCTCCCGGCTTTTAAAAATTACAATTTAAAAGAATCAAAAGCAACATCTCCCGATGCAGCATCCCCATTGCTTGAGATAATACAAACAACACAGGACAATTCTCTGGTCGAAAGTAGTTCCAATAAATACAGCATGTTCCCTTTTAATTATCCAGACTCCGACAGCGACATGTTGAAAATAATGTGTTACTAAATATGTTTACTCAATAAATGTATTTAATAAAAAAAGTTTGCAGTAGCACCAAAAGAGTGACTCAGATGGTTCCACTTAAACAATCTATTTGATCCAAAAACAGTCACATTGTCCAATTCAAATAAAAAATAAAAAAGATCTATGTGGACAATTTTTTGTCTTCTATTCCATCACATTAATAATTTCACAACCCCTTAGATTAGACTCTTTGAAGAGGACAGACCCACAGGTTGGGAACCACTGCACACTGCTACCTAAAAGTTAATTTAAGTAGTTATAACTAAATACATAGCACCATGATGAGTCAGAATGTAAAAGAAAAGTCTAATACTTCACAAAATTCACAAAAACAATGAATATTTTGCCGATGATGGGAAGTTACCTAATTTAACTTAAGTAGAACATTGTATGGAGGATTTTTAAAGGCAATAAAGTATTATTTTATTGTTGCATTCATACTTTTACATAGGTAGTATGTGAGTACTACTATTAACTGTCCATTATACTGATGCGGCATCTCAGAGATTGATGTGTCACAACCTGGGCATTAGTGAGAGAACAAGTGTGTGTAAACTAGATGACCACAGATTGTATCTTTGTTATGCTTAATATGGTATTTTGAATATAATTAGAAATAATGTGTCTTTTATTTTTCATGGGTAAAAATGGTAGTGGGGGTCTCCCAACAGGACACTGGACATGTGATCACTGTCAGTTTGTTAGTTGGTGTTCAGCTGTGATCAAGCGAATCCATTCTCTGCCCCTCATGACTGGTTTTCTATCCGGCTTCATGCTTTGTCGCCCAACATTTGGAGCTGTTCGATCCAAGCAATGAGACATCCATGACAGCTGCCGTGAGCAGGAAGTGTAAATAATGCACAATCTGAATCACAGACAAGTTTCTCTCCAGTCAATACTGGGCCAATCCATTTCCAGGGCCTTGATATTGCTTCTGCTTGAAAAACAGCCTTTTTTCTACTTAGTCCTCAGCCAATTGGACAGGAGTGCTTATTAATGCCATTTGCTTAGAAGATCTTTAACACCGAGTCATTGGTGGGTATCTTTAGAAGATAAAGATATGGATTCAACCGTTTCAAATGTTGACACCAATATCATTGCTCACCTCATCTGACATTCAACATATCTGCGTAGTGTCAATTTGCTGGGCTATTTGACATATTGATCGAAGCCAGAAACATCCCTCCTCTCACTCAAGCAACACAAATCTGCCTCTCCCCGAAAACACAAAACAAAAGTTGTTCTATTTTGTTCTACCCAATGTAGCTCTTGACAATCGTGTCTCTCCGGAGCACTACATATTGCATGAGTGAGCACAGACAGGCATCTAAACATTGTACTGTCAAGTACATTGCAACAATATTGAAAATTGGTCATTAAAAAGAGAGAGAGAGAACATTTTCACACAGTTTCTTCAAATTCTCTGCTCTCACAAATACCCCTGAAAGCAATATAAAAGAAAAGCAAGCCTCCGCTATTTGATGTAATCAAGCGACTGCTACCAGGAATAATCAGGACATAAAAACTGTGGATTCTGTGATGACATCCAGAATCATTTTCATGAGGATATGGGCATTTTGGTTGCACTGCAATCACTGGCTGAGACACAAACCATTTGAGTTTAAAACCCTAAGTGAACATTATACGCCCTGGCAGTCGAGCAGTCTTTATATTCTCAGTAAAGTATATTCATATAATGTCTCCAAAATATATATTTCCTTTTATTTGTTTTGCAACACAGGTTTTATTTGGTTACCCTTACAGAGTGCAGACATCTTTTTATTGTCGGCTGTTGGCTACATCTATCAGCCACTTTACGGCTATTATATGTCCAAGTGTCCTTGAGCGAGACACTGAACCCTAAGTTGCTCCCGAAGGACAGGACAGCCTCGCATGGCAGCTCCAATGTGTGTGTGTGTGTGTGTGTGTGTGTGTGTGTGTGTGTGTGTGTCAATGGGTGTACAAGAGGCAAATTGGAAAGCGTTTTGTCCGTTAAGGTAGAAAAGCACTATATAAGTGCAGTCCATTTACTGTCCACCCTTTACAGTTAAGTGTAGAGTTTTTATTTCCACTTCTTTTTAAAAGAGGAACTAAAAAAAATCCTGGCTATAAGCCCCGCTTTAATTAGTAACTGCAGAGCAGAGAAGAGGTTTTCTTACCTTTGACAATCAATACAGCCACGGCTGACAGGCTCTCCACGTCCGTGTCCACCACACAGATATATTTTCCGGCATGGTAAAGCTGAATGTTCCTGATCATCAGATCCCCTGCTGTTCTCTACATGGGGGGAGAGAAAGCTTTATGTAGCATGAAAGATAACAGACCCTGTGACAGCTTATTAAAGAATGCAGCGAAGCATATATAAGGTGCAGTAAATAGCTGAGCGTTTGCAGATCTTTCAGTTATTTAACTTTGCAGAAAAGCCTGTTTTTAAAGATATTTAATAACCAAGATATTTTTAGACATACTGTGCGTCTCGACATTTCTTGAAGTCGCAGCCATAAAGGCGAGCATTATGAAAATATCCTGAATATGACAGAACCTTTTAGTCGCATACTTCTGTCCAAGATGAATCCCGATGAAAAGCATCACGGCCAAAAATCACAGAAGTTGTATGCTGCAAATGGAACTTCTGTGTCTGAAAAGGCTTTTGCTATTTCTTCTCGCTTTTTGCAGAGGTCATCATCATCGCCTTCAAGACCTGCTGCAAGAAACTACACAACTAAGCTAATACGTTTGAATTCAGCCAGTTTTTGCTCGATTGGAGAGGAAAAAAAGGCCCTCTAGATTCTCATCTGAGAGGACACCCGTAAGCAGCAAACGGTAAATTAGTGGTGAAATCGTTCTCTTGGTATTGGCAGGAAAATGTGGCAGTAGAGCCAACGTGGTTTAATTATGGAAATTAAATTCCTTGAAGCAGCAAAGTTAAGTTGATAATCTCTTTGGACTGGGGACATTCTAGCATTTCTGGGGGAGTCTCTTTACAGATAAGAACATTGTCAGTCAAACACACACAAGGAAGAATGGTTAATCTCTAAAGGTCTGAGGGTGTTATGAAAATGTTTTGTCATTTGGGGCTCTGCCAAGACACCTCTAACAATATGTATTCCTTTTCTGTTATGGAGCAGCAAGCTATGTCAAAAAAGGATTTGAAAAGAATTGAATAGCAACCAAAGTATTGAAAATAGATTACTTCAGAAGGGTGAGCTCATGTAAGGGAAGTGTACTTAAAAAGAGGACAACCTGTCACAGTGGCTGAGCAACTAAGGCATAACTACATGATGTTTCATGTGTATTCTGACATAGCATAACCATGGTTCTATTCACAAACGTACTATTGGAAGCTGAGAGGGGCTGAATGGTTTAATAGAGCTTCCTTTTTAAACATCTTCACATTCCCACAGCCTGTAATGCCTCCAAGGAGACTCTTTAGAATTGCAAAAAAGGATGGTATCACACCCATTGCAGCAAAACTAACCACAGCAAATCTCTCCAAGAAATACCAGGGTGTCAAACCACATGCTGTCTCTTTTAACTAATGGCAGGGATGAAGTGAAGCAAGATGGGGAGAGGTGCCAACTGCCCATTCGCACGTTTTGAAGAAGTATGACTGCGGGGTCACTCACCCCACCCACTAGCTCAAAGTGACCCTCTCCCTTGGCGATCAGCTGTCCGTTGAAGGCCCAGGAGAAAGAAACGTCAAGGACGGGGTCACTGGAGACTTGACAGGGTAACACGATGCTCTCGCCCACTATGATCTCCATGTCCACGGGCCCCTGGGTGATTCTGGTTGGATCTGCCCGAAAAAAATGTGTTTGAAAAATTGAGAGAGAGTCATTTCTCACAGGGCGGCTGCCAATCTAACACAGATCATAAGATATTCATTGCGACATGAAACGAGATGAGCAGTGTATTGTTGATTTTCTGCAATAGAAGTTCAACCAGAGATGGCAAAAGTACAACCATCCTTTACTCAAGTAGAAGTACAGATACTCGTGTTTAAAAATACTCTGGTAAAAGTAGAAGTACTGACTAAACTTCTTTACTCAAGTAAAAGTAAAGAAGTATGGACTTTGAAATGTAGTTAAGTAAAAAGTACCCATAACTACCATCTGTTTTATAAAGTAACTGACCTCACTTTATATTAATAGAACAATAATGTCATTGTTAGCTAATGAATGTTTCGATGCTGAACAACGGCAAAATGACAAAGTTATCATTAATAATGATCATGCCACCAAACACAGATTAAAACTAAAGTAATGTGCCTGTTTTGAAAATATAAGAAGTTTAAAGTTCAGGTATCAGGAAGTCTTCAGAAAAATAAGTAGTGGAGTAAAGTACTGATACCAGAAAAATGTACTTAAGTACAGTAACGAAGTATTTGTACTCCACTACTTCCCACCTCTGGGTTCAACAGTGAGGCTACATGCGCTATAATACACTTAGTCACAGGCAGGGAATTATCTATATAAAGCAAGGTCTCATCAAAGTCTTAAGTGGAATAATGTGATAACACCAGCCTGCCACTACTAAAATGGCCTAATACTCCAAGCTGACACCACTAGAATAATCTCCTGAAATCCTGATAGCAATTACAATACAGTGCGGATCAGATAAAACTTCATGTAATGGGCTGCTCTGTGCATCCAGAACATAAATGAAGGGGCGTTGCTTCAAAGTCTACAAAAGCAATAATTTGACTAAGTCTGCCGTGCTTCAAAAGTCAAGATAATGAATCTGCTAGAATCAAATAAAGAAGGTGCAGCACAAAGCAAGAGGATTTGCACTCTTACATCTTACCTTATAGAGTAGAATCTTGAGGGGTAAGGAAATTACATGTAAAAATGTCCCCTTAGTTCTTAAGCTAGTAATAATCAATGTCTGGGTCGTGGCTCTGTGCCGCTGACTGCATTATGGCCTTGAAAGAAATACCCTCCCAACTGGCAGTTACAGTGGCAGACAATAGTGTTCAGCACATTAATAAAACCAATAAGAGAACACTTTACTAACACTCCACTGGAAGCACACGCTCGACAACAACAGCATCTGTAACACCTCCTCACTAACGCTTTCATTGCCTCCACTCAGGGCACTTTCATTTGTTGCAGTAAATTGGTTGTTTCAACTGCTTTGAAGAAAACAATGATAGAGTATTTTTTCAAACACCTTCCAAGTGCGTTATTGCAGCCGCACTTAACAACTCAATGGAATTAAACTGAAAGACAAAAAGGTTTTTTTTTAAGTTGCAGTCGAGTTTGAGTAACCATTACACCCCTTCAAATCAATAAATAAACAAAAATGACATTTAAAATAATATACCAAAAATGATTTCAGGCTTTTATTTAATTTTGTAAAGTCCTTGAAGGATAGACAGCTCCTAAAGTTTCTGACTCGCTCCTCAGAGGAAAACCTGAAGTTTGTTTATGTTTCCACCCACCAGTTATCGACTCTTTGCGCCACAGTAACTCTCCCTTGCGTTAATCCATACTGAGAGATAAATTCTGCTAACTAAGTGGGATGCATAAACATTCTGCTATGTCACAGTGGAGCTTACCGGTAACGAGGAGCCGTCCTGTTGTACTTGACATGCCAAATCTATTCCTCGCGAAGCACGTATAGCTGCCTGCATCAGACTTGCTCACGTTGGCAAGCCTCAATGTTCCATCTGGGGAGAGTGTGATCCTAAAGCAAACAGAGACACCCGTTTGCAATCCAACTTCAGAGAACAAAAGATAATTTTGTCATTAGATAAACTCTAATTCTGATTTTGTCTTTGTTCTTCATTATCATAGGCAACGAGAAGCAGTGTAAGTGAAGGGGGATATTGATCGTTTAGACTTAACAAGGTTGAAAACATACGATGGGAAACCTTTAATTGTACATTCCTATCACAGCCATCGGTCCTCTGGCTTAATTAAAGCAGGTTCAGTTCAGTCATTACCTGTCGTTGGTGTGGATAGGGAGGTTTCCTTTCTTCCATAAGATGCTGGCGATGGGATAGGCCTGGGGTTTACACTCTAAAGTCACTGTAGTTCCTGCCTTGGCTTTGAGCAAAGCTCTGAGGACGTTTCCTGTGAAGTCTGGCGGAGAGGCTGATGGGAAACAGTAAACTGACTTTAGTACAAGCCTGCAGAAAATCTCACAGGGCATTTGAAGCACGCCTCAGTTTGATCTGGGAAAATCATCAAATTGGAAAGTAATGGAGACAGACATTTGAAACATTTGTGATGGGAGAAAATAAATATAAAATCCAATTACTACTGGTGATTTGTGTTCCACTTTGTATAAAGAACATGGATTTACAGGGACCAACAATGTTGCATCTTTAATTGGTTTTACTCATAAAGATCATTTTTGTCATTCATTTTGAATCAACTACCCAATCCTCACCTTAACTTCAAAGTAAATCAGGATATCATGAAGGGGAAAATATTTTTTAAATGTGTTTGGCCCCATCAAACCCTCCTCGCTGACCCCATTATCTACTAATCCAGACAACCTTTAAGAATGACAGTAAGATGACCTTTAAGATTCTTCGGCAACAATGATTGGAGGATTTAAAGGAGAGATAAATGCCACCGTACCTAAAACCATTAGTTCAGCAGAGAAATATATGACGCCATGTTTATTCTCAGCCACACACTGGTACATGCCGGCGTCAGATAGCGTCAGCGCGGACACTGACAGGATGCCGTCCTCCACATGGATTCTGTCCTGTGAAGAAAAGGATGAAAGAAAGCAATTATTGCTTAAGACTTGAAGGTAGGTTTTTGCTTTGCTCAGCGCGCTCTGGCAAAGCTCAATAAGAATTGGATTGGGTTAGAGGCAATGTCAATGGGCGAAGATCAAATCAGGATTATGTTGCCGTGAATGAATCAGAGTCAGTGCACAAACAACATGTTTTTTTTCAAATATTCTCACTATCATGTTAACCAGCTTGTAATAATATCCTGTAGTGAAAACTATGTGTGCAAAATGTGTGTATATGTGGCTAAATTCAGCATCCTGTTATAAATATATATATATATTTTATTTCTGATGAATGATTAAGCCAGGATATATCTTATTGAGGGGAAACATGTAACGTTTTTTCATTAAAACCCTTACTGTATGTAACTCAATCCATGCAACTACACACATTATGGTCCAATCGTATATTGTTTCTGTTTAGCGTGTGATGATTAAGCTCTCTCTTTGAATTAAAGATTATACATTTACACAAAAGTATGCTTATCATAAGCCTTACATTGTGTCTGAAACTGATATCATGAAAAGTAAACAATACTGCCTTTTAGTTAAACAATCATGTTCTTGATCTTGCAACAGTACATGTATTGTTAAAATCAAATCATAGAATGACATTTAAAAAAGGCTTTTTGTTGTTGTTATAGAAGCAGGTGCTTGCATTGAGCATTACCAAATGCTGCTGAGAAGATAAAGCAACAGCAGCATATTGAAGTCAAGTCAAGTTGAAAGCTATGTATGTCCCTGGTGGTCCTGGGTAAGGTGTGCAGCCGTATAGCATATTTCACAGTAGATTAAACCCATTGTCCCTAAATCTGGAGGAGCTAAAACATGCACCATGAATAATGAAAACAACCACCGACTCCATTCAGATGAAATGGAGCAATCTCGGAGGGACTACACTGATCCACTCTCTAAGACTGTGTAATCTGCCAAGGTAGAGCGGAATAAGAGACAGTTACATCCATGTCTCATCACTGGCACACCTCAGCAAGACGTTTACACTCGCCTCTCATCTCACTCTGAATTGCACTTGGAAAAACAGCCGCGTGCTTGATGCCAGGCTCTCTAAAATGAAAGGATGCGCTGAAGATGAGGATTAAGTCTTTAAAAATGAAACATTGGTAGGTGGCAGAAGACGGGCAGTCATTTACCTCAGAGAGAAGCTGTTGGCCATTCTTCAGCCACGTGTAGGCGGGCTTGGGCTTGCCATTGGCTCGGCAGTCCCAGTAAAGTCTCTCCTCTATGGCCAGGGCCGTGTCCTTCGTGGCCTGGATCCACTGAGGCTTGGCTGAGGGAACACAAATATGAACCAGTGAAATGTCGGAGAACCAGGAAGACAGACTTAAGGAGCATAACATCTCTGGGGTTTCTGCAGGTTTGAAGTTCAATTGAAGACTTTTTAAGACCTTCTTAAGTTACATATTTAAATTATAGAAACATTTTTATTTTGCAGTTATACTGGCAGAAGTATGAAGGAACATTTGCATTAAAAAAAAAGTATTTCCATTCATTACTTTAGGAATGGGCATTTATTGATCTGATCCACGTCTGCTTGAGTTTGCACTTCCCCATCGTGCAAAATAAATCATAATTGAATGTAACTCTAAAGCGAGCCAAATCTAAATCCTAAAATCTTAAGAAGCTGGTATGATATCAAAAACCAAAAGTAAATAAACCTCTTTAATATTTGAAGTGGTAGAGCATTTATTTTAGGACCAATACAATCGTTCTTAAGAAAACCTGTTTAGGCCTACATTTTGAAAATTGAATTTGAGAAAATAGTTCAAAGGAAAGCATGAATAGAGTGACAGCTCCAATAAGTGAGAAAATAGGTTTGTCTTTAAAGGGGAGAGAGGAGTGAATCTAGGGTTTCACTCAGCTTCATCACTTAAATGTGTCAGCTGCCTGTGGCAAGTCAAGATTAGCATGAAACGCTACGCCACAAAGCAGGAAGCTGTCATGAACAGCTACCTTCATTCTGTGTTTAATAAACATCACCCTGGGTCTGTTCCCACATCCAGCACACAACTTTCTAGCTTTTTTTCTCTTACACATTTACAACATTACAGAATATGTAGCAGGTAGAGTGTTGTGCTCATAACAATCGGCACAGCTGACTTTACATGCATTTGCACTCAAAAGTGTCATTCTTCCTCTTTCAAAAAGGAACAGCAGTTGAGGTAAGTCAAGATGCCAAAAATTGTAAAACTGCAGTAAAATTAACACTAACCGCGTGGAAAGAAAGAAAATCACTTGTAAATAACAATAGGCTGTTAACATAAATTATCGTATTACCAAATAACAACTATTTTGACACTGACAGCAGCAGTATTACATTAAGAATATGACAGATGGAACATAGCAAAGATCTCACACATTATAACTTAATCGGTACAATGTTTTTTGTTGTCATAGCAAGTAAAAGAAAATATGTCTTACCATAGAAGGCCAGCCGACCGGTGGCTATGTTCTTGCCCATCTTGTTCTCAGCTACACACTCGTATCCTCCTGTATCATCCTGCTGGAAGCTGGGTATCTCCAGCACGGCATTAGAGTACTTCATTTTGACTTTGCTGGGGAAGGGAACGCCGTTAGCTCTCTTCCAGGTGATTTCTGGGACAGGGCTGAAAGACACAGAGGAATTAAACCTCAGCGGAGATCCCGATTCAAGTCCTTTTGAACTTTTAAGATTGCAGCTCAGGTTGCAGGTCTCTGTAATCCTGCGATAAAGTGTTTGATGAAGCTTTAAAGCCTAGTCACTGTATTTCTTTTTTGGCGGAAGAATGGTTTAGAGTTACCCTGATCTGACAACAAATAATGCAGTCTCACATGGCTTTCAGACCAATCATGGCTTGATGCCACACTCTAAAAAATATAATTGCCAAAGCAACATTACTTTATAGAAATCCAGATGTCTGGAATGAAAGACAGCGGAAGATTGAAAACATGCTTGAAGGAATCCAGCTTACTTCCCAAGGGCGAAACATTCCAGCGTAACTGTTGATCCTTTTGATGCGGGTACATTGTCTGGGAAATTAACTTCTATTTTCGGCTCGTATTCGCCCATCACTCCTATGAAGAGCAGGCACAAGAACTTGCTCAGTCTTCCATTATTCATGACTTACAAGCAATATGGTTTGCATTATGGACCAAACAATCGCACTGTAAAACTAACAGAGGAGAAATAAAAGACACATGAGCAAACATTCTCTCGCGGGCAAACTCCAAGTAGTACATCACTTAAATGTCGCCAGAGCGCCGTGAAACACCAGCAAGGAATAATTTAAATATCTTCTTGGTGGAATAGATAGAGTAGAATTTGAAATATTGTCTTTTGTGCTAGTCTGGCTGTTAGTCTATTATTTCAAAGCTTGAGTGGGCAGCTCCCAACCCCTTGTGTTTTATTGTTTGTAACAGTATTTAAGACAGTCAAGGCTAGGATCATAAAATGATGCGATGAGAGTTAAATGTATGCAGCCACATACAGTACACTGAGTGGAAACTAACTGGTTGAGCCACCAGAACACTCAATGTAATGGTCCAGTGACGTATGGCTTATGTTTTATTCATTGGAAGGCAATCTTTATTCACTCTTTCTATGAAGGCGTAACAGAGAATAGAACAACAGACCAAAGAGAACCGGGCTGGAGAATTCATGTGAAAGCACAGAGAAAAGCTTTTAAAAGCAATGCGAAATTATAAGAGAGCTAAGTCAGCAAAGAGGAGATTTGGGTGCTTTGTTTGCTGGCCTACATTGAGGAGCAACTATTTACTTACAAGCATTAGCGCTCGGTGACTCAACGACAGCGAGGCTCGACACGACAAAGAGCACTCATGCAAGTGCGATGATTAAAGCCACCTTCAAAGGAAAGGTCCCTAATACATGGCTGTGAGGCACACTTGTCACATCGCGGCCTTGAGCTGGGCTTCTTACCATCTGTCCTGAGGATCAGAGATGTAGGTGAGCTCTGAACCTTGCCCTTTGTGATGCTGTTCATCACCACACAAGTGTAGTTGCCCACGTCTGAGGGGTCCACCTTGGCGATGTAAAGATTTCCCGTCTGCTGGGAGACGAAACGCCGATTGTCTTGTTGAACAAAGTAAGGGTACTCATTGAAGACCCATGCATACGTAAGGTCTGGAAGAAAAAGAGATTTTTAAATGTGATGGTAAAAAAGGTGAATTAATGCTGGCAATGGTATACTTTATTCTACAAGCCACTTCAACTTTAAACAACTGCACAGTTTGAAGCCAGGATGAAGGTTTACCTCCTGAGGAAGTGGACGTTCCACAAAGTAACACCACTCCTTGTCCCTCACGGACTGACACTGCGCTTCTGGTGTGGACTTTGAAATGATCTAAGTCTGAGGGAAACAAAAATGAAAAGGAAGATCACCGCAGGAGCTCACATGTATCGGAGTGCTTACAGCAAGACTCTCACACAAGCACATAAGGATAGTGTCAGGAGAATTGCACTTATGCAGTGAATGAAACAGGTTCAGACTGAGAAGAGGCTTGTAGGTATGAGCACAAGTGCAGGGAGATATAACATATATATTGCTATCCTTTTTTTCGTACACCAATTGACAATAATGTCAAAGCGCTTGTGTTTAAGTTTCTTGTTATAGTAGTTCAGGGGAAAAAACGACAACATACAATATATAGCAACCACAAGGACACAAAACCAACAGTTTGGTCATATTTCACATATTGCAGTAAACATAATACCATCAACCTTCAGGTCTGAATAATAAATAAGAACAATAACTGCTGTAGGTTAAACAACCAACTATTCAGTCTTGCCCCTGGTAATGGCTTAGAAATAAACTGAAAACCACAAAAAACAGTATTATAACATATATTATCCAGTGCATGGAAATGATGAGCATCACAAATGCGTCAAGTTTTTCCACTAACCCCTGGTAATATTAGGCAATGAAGATATCTTCTGGTTACTCTATATAAGCCACAAACTTCTCTTCAATCAGTTTCAAAGTTTTCATTTGGGCTATTTTCATTTGAAGGTGATAACAGATTTCATAACAAAAAAAATCCTATCAGCAAGGTGTTATATAGTGTAACAAAGACATTATTTCTGCACAATGGGTTGTTGAGTTTGTTATGTCATTATGTCTCAGCAGTGCATGTCTAAAAGCTTGAAATACAACCAAAAATGTCGGCAAGGCCAGACACAGAAGGTGTGAAAAGATACTTTCTTGTTATCTACAACAATTGAAGTCCAATTAATAGTACATTAACAATAAGTACTTATTTCTTTACTCATTTGAGATGTTTGCTGCTTTCACCACCACGTGTATGTGATGTGAGAGAAATCACAGTTTGTCTTATTTGTATGGCAATATAATTGTACAAAAAATGTTTGTACCGTTAGTTTTATTAATTTCCATTACTCAAAACCGACATATTATGTTGGAGTCAACATTAACACAGCATTGAGTCCTTATTGAGGTATTTGTCATACCCAACACAATTTGGTTGACTTATTTACCCCCCAGAGTACATGACATAAAACACCAATGACATTTCTGATAAAGCTAAGCAAGGTGAAATGAAGTATTCATTCTTAGTTAGCAAGAACGAACATAAGTAAAGAATAGACGTCACGCTAAAACTGCCCCCATGCCACTTCAGCATTTAACATCGCCTCACAGTTGTAGCACTCATAAATATTACAAGCGTCGCCCACCTAGTTTGGTGTGCGTCGGCATTATTTTTCTAAGTGCGGTTACACTACCATCCCATTTCTTAATAAAAAGTGACGTGAACTTACAGGCAAACTGCAGACTGGCTCTCCTGCTGAGAATCGCTCCTACAGTGTTGAACGCCATGCACTGGTACATTCCTACATCCTGGTAGCGGTCCAGACTGCTTATAATGAGGTTGCCCCCAGACAGACGCCGCCGGCGATCCAGGCCCAGATTTATGAGAGTCCCATTCAATGACCATCTGTGAGGGCAAAGACACCATCAGTCCCTGGCAAAAAAGCAGCGTCCATTTCTTTTCTACCAACCAAGGTGGTCTGACAGGAGGTGAGTGGGGAACACAACTCACTGTAGTAACTCACTTGAAGTAAGAATAATACACTGAACATTTGTGCTGGTGTGGAGGAATTCACAGGCTTGCAGGTTGAAGCATGAACAGCATGAACTTGTGTGATTTTTAGCCATTTATTATTTTCCTGCTGGAATTCAACTTTCCTAACAAAGTTTCCTAAGTCATAAAGTAGCTCGGAAAAGACTACATATACTGAGAAGCATTTTAATTCCCTCTGTTGTTTTTCTTGTTTTCTTCACAGTCCTAAATTATTGTCAATTTAGATTTGTATTAACTGAATAGTTCTCACTATCCTATTCTGCACATGTTCGATGATTGTTGAATATGGTTTTGTCCCTGTAATCGAATAATTCTGTTATCCATTATTCTACAACATGCTCCAGTGTTTTTGGTTTATATTACACTTAAATTGCACATTTATTATTTATATTGTATTTTCTGTTCCTATTCTATTTTTCTTTATTTTTCTCTACCACTATTTGCTGCTGCAGCGATCTCATTTCCCCCCGCAGGGATCATTAAAGTTTAATCTTAGACTATCATACACAAAGCTGTCTTCTGCTATTTAAGGGAAGCATAAGATAAAGGTTTTAGAAGCCATCATAGATATTATCATCAGTCTTACCCATAATAACCTCGTCTCTGTCACATTATATTTACATAATGTGACAAATTCCACCTTTGACTTCTCATTAGGACAAAACATTAGCACTTGGCAGGGGCTGATGTAACAAAGGATGCCTTTTAAACTCTTTTTCACCTTCCATTACATCTATTGCGCCTGCTAAGTGTTGAAGTTTGAAAAGATAATACCTTGCGCAGCAGGACCAGATTGTGCTATTAAATAAATGAATCACCTAAAAGATGTAATAATGAAATTAGTTTAATTAATGGATGTAAAGAAGCCCCTATATTCAGTTAGAAAATACATTCTCTTCTTCTTGTCACCACAACACTTCTCTTTTTAAATGCTAGTGAAACACGGAGCTTTGATGGGTTGAAGGACAGAGCCCTTTTCAAGAATTTACCATCATATTTCTCAAAGCATATAAAAGAACAATTTCTCTCCTTCAGCGCCAATCCTTTATTCTACTTCTCGTAAGTGATGAAAGAAAAAATGAAAGATAGGGAGGCCATAATGGCAAACTTTCCAAAAGCTTTCAAGTCTAACCTCCAAAATAATTTCTTACAGAATACCCAAACCATTGAACGCCGACGAGTGCTTGCCGCCTTCCTCTAGACATTTAGACTTATTTTATTTCTGTATGTATAGTGGTTGACTTTACTTCTTAGAGCTGAACAGTGTGAACGTCTGTACAATGAACACCTAAGGGTTCACTCTGTTATTAAAACATGCATGTGTGTGTTTAGGGGTCTGTGACCACACAGCTGCATTTAGCTCCATCACCTCTTTTTGACCTAAAGTGCCTCAGTGGTGGCCTGAACATTGGGCAGGTGATTGAATATCAACCCCAAAACTGAGTTACTCAGCTTGAGACTCATTTTGTGAACACGTGTTGTCTGACCCTCTGACCACAGAGAAACTGGATATCCTGGATCATCCTGCAGCTCCGAGCCACAGGCGTTATACCTCAGGTCAAGTAAAGGTTAAGCAAGTCACCCTCTGCATCACTTTTATGACTGGCTGGGGAGAATATGCTTTTTCAAACTAGTTGTGGCTTTCTCCCATGAGCAATAATGCCACTTCAGTGTGCATACTATAAAATACTCATCTCTTTTTGAGTGACAGGTCTGGCAGAGGAAAGGGGAAGGGAGAACAGAGACGAGAGGGGAGGGAGCCTATTTACACTTCAAGAGAAGAGCCACAGAGGTGCGGAGGGCTTGCAGAGCCGGGCACAGCCAGCTTGACAAGGCACCGCGTTACAACGTGCTCATCTCACCTTTAAATCAGTACATGGAAATACCTGGTCTTAGGCGAAGAATGTGAAAAGCCTGAAATAATGAGCATACGCACTCCACACGGCTATCATTCATCTCGCCTGTGCCGGCTGTGCCGCAGTAATTCTATTGTTCAACGCCAAAGACACTTGTAATCAATGTCTGTTGGTGCCACATGGTGTCTAGCAACGTGCATCGGCCTCACAGCATTTTAAAAGAGGGGCTTTAAGATGCATTAAGATGCTACACGTGTGTCGCTAAGATAATATCTGGCGAGACAAGAGGAAGATTGGCAGCGTGTTAGTCAATATGAATGAGTGAAGCCATAATGACGCGCCTGCTTTGAGTGTCTGTAAGCGTTTCAGTTTAATTTAGAGAAAATGAAAAGGGAAGCAAGGACGTGCTTATGCCATGTGAAGAATCTTCTTTTAAATCCTTATCTTCATTACTGTGAATGAATTGAGCAGCAAGGCTGACAGTAGTATAAATAATATATATGTACTGTATGTGTAACGGTTTCAAGCTGATTGTATGTCCCCACGCACACAAAGGTTATGTTTACTTTATATGAAACAAGGTCCTCTTATGACATCGACAGCTGCTATGAAAACACTTTCAGGGACGAAGTTAAAGAGAAAGGCGAGCTGCTGATTCTGCACTTGACTTCCTTTAGGTTCATACCAAGGAAAGCAATAACTGATGATGGTAATTTCTGATAATATTATAACGTTCTTCTGCTGCTATTTATATTTCTATAACAAATTTGCGATTGTTGATTTTCACAATGCGTAAGAGTTTAAGTAAAGATACACCTCATATGACGTGCTGCTTCTTTATCTCACACATGCCCTCATTTGAACGATTTCTCACCTGTACTGAGGAGATGGCGTTCCCTTAGCATCACAGGTCAGAGTAGCTTCTTCTTCTATGGAGTCGACAGGAATGAACAAGTCACCTGGCTCCATCCTCCATCTTGGACCATGGTACGATCCACTGTCCAAACAATCTGTCAGAAAAACAGTGACAGCTTGAGCAAAACCGAAGAAACGTGCCCATTTTGATAGGAAAGTTTGGCCTGCACATTTCCCCCATTCTTCTGGAGGAAATAGGACACTCAGTTATAATAGGAGGATGGACATTAGTAAACATTGGGAGAGACTCAATACTTTTCATTTAATCTTGCAACAAAAATGCAGATTCTTCCTAAAGAAAAGGCTGAATAACTTTAACAGGATGACATTCCTGTGAATTTAAAAGAAGAAATGTTGCTTGTCCAGCAAAACATTTTCTGAATTTTCCATTTGATAAAATATAATAATGCTTTAGTATATTGTTGTATATTATAAGTTAAAATAAGACTTAAAGGTCCCATGTCATGGCCATTTCAACTGATCATAATTCCATTGTTGAGGTATTTAAATTGTGCAATTTTCCAAAATCACATTGGTTATTACTATACAGCATCTCTGTATAGTATGTGTATTCACTCTCTGTCCTAAACGGCTTGTTGGAGCTCCTGCCCCCCCCTCCCTATGAGCCCAGTGGCCGTCTGCGAGACAGCGAGACACAGCGAAACCCAGCCCGAAACAAGCCCGAACACACACACACACCCGCAGCCTGGCTGGGAGTTTGTGTGTGTGCTCACACACCGACTCACAGTCTCGCCGCCTCAGGGAGGAGAAATTGGCGGAGATGCAGCTGAGAAAAGATTGAGTGTGTGTGTGTGAGGAAGTCCGCGGATTGGTCAATTTGGACCAATCCACGGACTTAACGTAACGGCTCCACGGACGTAACGTAACGGCTCCACGGATTGGTCCATTTGGACCAATTTGGGTATGGGCACGTCACCTACCCAGGAAGAAAACAATGGAAAAAGAGGCGTTCTGTGGCAGCATAGACAGGTATTTTCTGTGTTAGAGTTTTACTCGCTACAGGGTGTACTTTGAGGGTTTGTGACTCTGCAGACCGTTTACATGCATAAAAACCTTCATAACACACAAGGGGACGGGTAATAACCGGAAAAGCATTACATGGGACCTTTAAGAGGGGCAATCTTTGATTTGTTATTTGTTCACATTAACTGAGTGATGAATATCATTTGGAAAAAACATATCTTTAGGTAACAGTCATGATAGTCTTTGCTCTGTGTTTTGTGTGAATAAATAATTAAAAGAAAAATAAACAATGCCTTCTCATCAGGTTGCTATCACAGAGTAGTGAGGAGGAGGAGGATTGAGAGTATTGTGTCTGTGTTGTGAATGGAAGTCAATACTGAGGAGTGCCCCTTTAAACGTGGGCCATCCTATCATCTCTGACACAGGCATTATTTTCGGCTCTTCAGCTATCATCTAGCAACTCTAAATGTCCAAACAAGAAATAATCATTACTCATATAAAAAGGTGGTTTACCTGCCAGACAGTCGATGATTGATAACAGTAGAAGCTGTTTCCATGGCAACGTCATCTTTGGCAGCCAAGGGCAAATGAGACTTTCATCCAATAAGCTTTGAAATGGCACTCGTGTTCTCCGAGAGAGGGGAGCTTGACCTGTTGAAACAAGATTTTTGTTGTAAAACACCAAACTCTGGGAAACCCAATATTTTTATCCCACTTTCAACCAGATGTCTTTCAATCGTCCATCAGGAGAAGACAGGATAAGTGTACATTTCAGAAGTAGAAATATAACGATGATACAATTGTACGTAGCATTTGGTGCAAGATAAGGCTGCACAATATTGTTGTTTATTATTATATTGCACTCTGGGAATTTTGATTAGTTGAAAGATAAATTCAGAAGAAAACTCCACTTTAAAATGAAGCTAGCACTCTTTTTCTAATTGGTGCCTTTTGTGATCATTCCATGTTCAATTTGTGCAATAAAAGAATGTTTGGAAGCAATTTGTTCCATTCAACAACATTATTGAATATTGCATATTTTGCTAACAGCTACCTAGTGCAGGATGTGTCTCATTTTACTTCTGCCCGTTTTCACAATTCTGATCGGGGAAGATCCAGGCAGTGTCACTTTGTGCCCTGTGCTTCGGCCAACTTGCACCCGGAGATGTCTGAGGGTGATACAAGAGGCATATGGGAAGAAGCCGATGCCAATCTATTAGGGGGGCGACCGACGCCTAAGCTCATCCTTCACTTGGATAGATTCACTCTGGCTGCCGGAGGAGACTTGGACCTGGGAATTGGGTGCCATCCAATCAATTAGATTCACCCGCAGCAGCATGTGTCTCCCCACATGCTGGGGTGAATCAAGACAGCCTGATGAGGAAGCCATTCCACCCAGGTCCATAATCAAGGGCAAGTGTCTGTCTGCGTGTAGCATGTTCTGCCAATTGCGATGCACCCGCTTCTTGCAGGAGGAGACTGAGCGAGTAATGATGCAATTATGAAATGTCAAACATACATACAACGGAGAACCGGCAATATCACAGCAGTAAAGTGAGCAGTTACACATATTCACGTGTGTTGGGTATAGGCAGATGGTTGTACAATAGCGTGTACCTACATATTAACAGCAATACGAAGGTCTGCACACACAGAATCACAAATTTCTTCGAGAGGTGTTCAAGATATATTAAGGCCAGAGACTGGTAATAACACCAATCTGCTAAATGTCACACAGCCCACATACACCTACACTCCAAACTCACTTTCTCGCCGTGTTCAACACGCATAACACCCTGCCTCCACACGCACACACACACTCGCTTTCCATTTAAGAAACATAAGCCGTGATGTGCGGCTCATTTGTGGCTTAATCCCGGGGCGAGCCTGGTTCAGAGAGCTACTTATATAGGCTCTAATTGTTTGTCAGCTGCCTGGATGTCAAATCAGGCACGTGGGGTCTCAGCCAGAATTTTTTCTTCCCTACCTTTCATGTTTGCTCTGTCCTTTTTCTTCGCCTGAAAGTCTGCACAATTGGATTGGTACGCTTCCTCTCAAGACGAGTCCTGCATGCCATACCTCAGTGATAGGCCCACGGTGTGCAAAGTGCTGGCACCTCAGGACTGAATATTGGTGTGTGTGTGGAAGGTACAGTGGGTATTACACTACTGTCGACTTGGCATGTTGGTTTGCATTTATAATGGGGTTTTGTCAAGGATGGCACCCTGGAACAACTGATGCAACGTGTTCCTTTTTTTCTTATGCAGATCTAATAAATAATTTACAAATGCAAAATAGATACAGATTCTGTCAGTGATATGACACAGAGCTGATAGCTCAGTGCTTCACATGTACACACTGTATAATACTTTTCACACGCACAGTACACACACAGATCTGAACATGAGGCACACACACACACACTCACTCACTCACAGCTTGCACTCATCATGGATAATGGTGCTACCGATGACTGTGATATAAGGTGGTGAGAAAGGGTTTACGGGGTGAATCACTCTCAATCACTGAGGCTTCCTTCCTGTACCTAGACACCACTGGGTTAAATAATGTAAAATCCTGATATCTACCACCTCCATCACACTACGCCTGCATCCAAGTAACACGCTGGTTGAACAAATAGTCCAGCTGGCAGAGTGGGAGTGTACTTACTTTGAAGGCCTTCGCTGCATTCATCACAGATATTCCAGCTGACATTGTGGCATACAGTATGCAATTACCTGCTGAATGTTGCTGTATCTCTAGAGGCTTACAGCCAATCATAGCCAGGACACTTCTCAAGGTTTGCTGAGGGTATTTTTTTACCTTCATGCCTTTGAAAGAGGGTCCTTGGTAACACCTGGATACCTTTATGATGTCTTTTTGTGCACACAAGCACCAGGCATTCAATTCCACCAAAGGCTGGTTACTCTAAAAAAATGTTTTAGTGTTGGCCTGTAGCAACACATTTCAGAGGGTGAGGTGAAGTGGAGCTGCAGTGTGGCACCACACAGTTAGAGGCTACAACAACTTGAGTACAGCATCTCTGCATCAGTTGGTCAAAGAAAGGCACAAAAACAACTCCCTAGATATAACAAAACCCCAATGTGTCTGTGTATGAATGAATGCCCCTCCAGAACCAGACACTGTGGAGGAATTGGCTGCAGTTGGCAGGGCACGTCTCGTTACTCCAGCCTAAACAATTATTATCAAATAAATGGCATTAGAAACTGATGAGCCAATTCGGGACAGCAGGCAAAACAGGCCGACATGTGAGCCTGTTAGGATGTATTAATATTTTAGCATATAAATATCACTGTGTAAATAATTTAGCTGTTCCGTATTTGTGCACGTTCCCAATTGTCAAGCGCGCTCAAGGGGTAATCATTTTTTGTCTTACCTCTTATCTTGAAATGTCTTGAGACCAGCAGGAACCAAATTCAGCCCTCACGGAAAAAGCGACAGATTGATCCTCCATGGAAAGCCTTTTTTTAAGGGGAAAAAAATCGGTCACAATCGCAAGGTCGTTCATACAGGTGAAAAATGTAGCCGGTGGTCAGTCAGAGATAACGGGTAATGCAGGAGGCATAAACACCCGCGTTTCATATCGCTGCTCTCCTCTTTCTCCACTCCCCACTAAAAAACACACACACACACACTCACACACATATACACACACACAACACCCACGTTGTTTGCCGTGCTGAATCACATTTGAAACATCGCCAGTTAAGAGGCTCGACTCTCGCCTGTGTTTGCGCTCTCAAATCCAACACGCGTAGGTCTAAATTTGGGCTTGGAGGGAATCTTGCAGAGATGATTTATTATGCGCATCAAGTCAGCTCCCCCTGCGAACAAGAAGAAGAAGAAGAAGTGGGCTGTACGAAGGAGCAACCACAAGCAGCAGCGCTGGGATGGGAAGGTGCGGGAGGGAGGAAGGCGCACCTGGAGGGGAACTGCGCCCCCCTGCGACAACCCACGATATGACAAACAAACCGTGAGCTTCCACGACTCAATATCTATCAGGGTTAACTGACTCCCAGGTTTTGACATAAGCACAAGGCTGAATTTTTTTTTTTAAAGATTTAAGGTCCTTGTGCCACACATGCCGTAGACAAAGGCTATAGCGAAGTCGTGGCTGTGCCTGTTGCTGTGGTCCATCTTCTTGTTCTTCTTATTTATAGACACATATTTCTAGCATTTGGACTGTTGTAAATGTGTTATGTTTGATTTACAAATGTCACCTATTGCACGTCTGTCCATCCTGGGAGAGGGATCTCTCCTCTATTGCTCTCCCCGAGGTTTCTTCCATTTTCTCCCCATTAATTGTGGGGTCTCTTTGGGAGTTTGTCCTGTCCAATGTGAAGGTCCAAGGACAGAGGGTGTCGTATTTGTGTTCTGTATAAACTGTTAAGTCCACTGAGACAAATGTAAAATGTTTGATATTGGGCAATAAATCAACTTTGATTGATTAATTGAGTTAATACCAAGAGGATGTAATGTAACTTAAAACATGACGTACAATAGTTAGGATGATCTTTTTTCACTAAGGGTGATTTATCAGTTTTTCTGAAAAGCAGAAGCATCGCTTGGATCTTCTGTAGGCCTATATCTACTGTACATGGTTTGTATAGTAAAAAAGATATCTATCATTTTATAAAAATGAACATTTACTGCAAAAGGACAGATTGAATTAATCCTAACAAAAAAAAGAAGCAATAAATAACATGTTTGTTTTATACCGTAGGCAGAGTAATGTAAACTGTGGAAACTCTATAGCCGGAAAAATAGCCCTGTTTGCATAGGAGGCAAAGAAGCAAAGAGAGGGTTTGATAAAAAAAACGTTCTTATTATTGAGCTAGTTCAGTAAGTAACAAAACCTGCCTAATTATTAATACTGCTGGATTTTAACCACTTTATCAGAGCACAAAGATCAGAGTATCTAGCGGCTACCTGGCTGCTATAGTAGGCTACTGTTACGTACAACATAATGAACTAGTAGTTGTTCTTGTTCATATGAAAATAAACGGACAGAAAATATGTTTTCATGGCCTATGGTTGCGCAGTTTCTTTGGAAACAAATGCAGTGTGTCCTGTGTTGTTGGTACATCTAAAGAAAATGGAAAGTGATCAGTTTGTCTTTACGACAGGGACACCAACAGAAATACAGATCAATATCATATCATGGGAAAGGTATCATTATTTGCTTGGATTATTTGTGACAGTAAAGCATGGGATACTGACCACTAGGGGTCCTAAAACTAACTCCTGAGAGAATTGGTTCTCGGTCTCGCCTCCACCAGTCACTTGTTTACTTCAGCGAGCTGTTCATTTCACACTAGACAAGCAACATTAACTCATCAGCTTGAGTGAGTTTATGAGCTAGGAGTGGCTGCCCGTTACAATATGTTTGGTCAGTGAGAGGCATCCGAAATGAAGCATACACGCAGGCGACCAATATAATGAGCTGCAAGTGGCTGAAAACATGGAGCTGCCTAGTCGGGTTTCCAAATTACTTAAAAATGTGTGAGTGTGGGTTCTTCTTTGGGTGCTAGCAGGGCATGTATGTGGGCTGAGTGACATCACTCAAAATAGTTTTCTGATTGGAGGAGAGGGAAGTGTTGTGGGTACAACTGCACCTGTTTTTCACTGTGCAACTCACTGCACAACAAAAATGTGCCTGGTTGTTATGGAAATGTAAAGGAGCAAGTACCTGTGGTTAAAACCCACAAATACAAAATGACGAAATAAATGTTGGTGACATGTCTCCCTTTCTAATTGGCCCTTTCACTGAACATTTGACATGTCACAGTAGGGAAGACATGGAGGTACATAATAAAAAGAATGGCAGCTGAATTCAATTTAGCAGCTTGAGTTTCAGGATCCTGGTATTAAATAGAAATGAGCTGTAATTAATGCTGTTACCAACATCTGTGCTTTTGGTGCAATGACAAGCCAAATAGGTCAGTTTAAAATTAAAATAAAAACATGTTTATGCCAGCACCTGACTGTTTGTTACAGGAGTGTGATGTTTCACCTGAGATTATTTGATCCACATTATTCCGAACACTTCAACGTTTTGCCTAAAACTCTTATTGTTAATATTTACTAAATTATATACAATCTCTTTCATTATTTACTTAAACTAGAACCGCCAGAGGTTTTTTTATACCTAAAACCGCCACCTGGGTGAAATTGACCCGCTATTAGAATGCATTGATTTTCAAGGTAAAATGTTCTTTTATTGAACAGTGAGTTTTGATCGCACAGGGATGAAACGTATACCAATAGAATCTGTGGACTCTCAGCTTTTCATATGTCACAGCCAGGGCTCGACATTATAAATGGCCCGCTGGTCCGGAAGCATTATTTAGACACCCCGGCCAGCATAATGTACTTTCAACTCGCCCCACAGCTGTTTGCTGCGGAGCGCAGCGCAAGCAGTCTCCCGTGAGCGGGAGCGCACTCCTTCACTACAGACTGTCTCTATCTCTCTCTCTCTCTCTCTATCTATAACTATCTATCAATATATCTATCCATCTATCTCTCTCTCTCTCAATCTATCTCTCAATCTATAAGGAACCGCAGTAGACAAAATGCGTTGCTATAGCAATACGTCATGAAAAGGGGTGGGGTCAATATGACCCGCTGGGCGGAAATAGGTATAAATGGCAATTTTTTTGGCGATTTCTTCAATCTGACTTCATATTGACCATTTTTAACAACATAGGGTGCTACATATCACACTTTCAGGAAAAGTCACGGACTGGGAGACTTTAATATTTTATTGAAAAAAAGTTACATACAATAAAAAACAGCTCTGGGTCAAATTGACCCGATTGGCGGTTCTATTGTTAAAGATTTCCTCAGCACCTCATATCTTAATGGAGGATCAGGAAAAAGTAAATCATTTTGTATCTTGTACAATAGATTTTCAAGTTCTCCGAGACAAATTGGAGATTTTTGGCTCTATAAAGACATTTTACTTTACTGGAGTTGACTATAATTAAAAACTGCTTTCGCCAACTGAAATAAATTGGGTTGCTGCTGAGTTGCAGAAGGCTGACATTTCCCTGTTTTTGATAAGCATCCGCTGACAGCTTTGGTTCATGGTGAAAGGATGTATTTCCCATGACGAGACTGGAAAGAATCTGCTCTCCAAGTCTCTTCCTCCATTTCTCATTCGCACTCTCAAACTTTCAACTGGCCTTCCTTCCTTTTGTCTCTCTTGTTCTGTCTGTCTGACTCTTCCTCTAAGTCAATACATGTCACCCTTGTGTATATTACCACCAGGCCAATATGTGTACTGGGCCTCAGAGAAGCCTAAATGTATTACCCATAGACTGTGGTATTACCATACATTCTGGGATTCCTCAGTCTATACGAGGAGCCCCATTAAACCTACATTGATCATTCTCATTTCAGGTGAAGGTTCCTTTAACATGGCCAGGGCATCGTTAATAATGCTCCATACAGCAGCCATTTGACATTTCCTTTAATTATGCCTGTAATTTATTCATGCACTTGATCCTAGGAGCTTGTTGTGAAAAGCTTCCTCCAGGAATATTTTATCCTGGTCCTCTTGAGGCGCATGGATTAACCATCTTAATAGCAACCCCCTGAAGGTATTACTTCCTTCATTGTCTCTCTGTGTGTGTGTGTGTGTGTGTGTGTGTGTGTGTGTGTGTGTGTGTGTGTGTGTGTGTGTGTGTGTGACAGCAATGAGCATTGTACCTCACATGTGTGTGTTAAGCTGCAAAAGTCATTAGGTCTTATTTCCCAACCATTCAGACTACTCGATGTAAAGTCTCCTGTATGACTAGCTTCTCTAATTTTGGAAGGGCATAAAGAAAAGTGCAAATGGTTGCAAGATCCACGCTTATCGCAGAACACAGCGACCCCCATGTTTAACCCAGTTTTGCAGAAGGAAAACATCACCGCTTAATTTGCTCACTCTGTTGGTCGGTTAACAGACAGCGAAACACAGCAATTTCCCCACAAAGTAGCGGAGTAAATGTGAAATGCACACACTTGAAATGGGATTCAAGATGTTAATTATGATGTTTCTTCATCACAGCACATTGCTCAACTCTAGAGTGCACACCTGACAAAATTCCTCAGGCTTTGTTGGGGAAAATGCGAGCATTTGAAGACTGGAAGTGGAGGCCCTTATATGAAAAGGACACACCACACACACACACAACACACACACACACACACACACACACAACACCACCACACACACACACACACACACACACACACACACACACACACACACACACACACACACACACACACACACACACACACACACACACACACACACACACACACACACACACACACACACACACACACACACACACACACACACACACACACACACACACACACACACACACACACACACACACACACACACACACACACACACACACACACACACACACACACACACACACACACACACACACACACCACACACACACACACACACACACACACACACACACACACACACACACACACACACACACACACACACACACACACACACACACACACACACACACACACACACACACACACACACACACACACACACACACACCAATTTGTCACCTGTAAATGGAAAGTGATTTGTCAATTTGTCAGGACTGGAGGAAACACATATACCCTACTTTATTATTTCATGAAAAATTGAACAGCTATTGCTGCAAATATGTAAACTTACATTTATTTCCCGTTTGTTGTAATCATTTTTCACAAAACCATAAATCGTCTTCCTTTGCTCTATTCTATAACACATCTAAACATAAAGCA